ACGGCTAACCCTGTTGGTGACGAGTTCGTGCTCTATCTGGAGCTGTACAGATCCTTACAACTGCAAAGTTCACTCAGAGTACCGTCTTACTGACTTACAGTGGAATCATACAATTAATGCAGAAAGCTAGAAAGAACAAAATAAATTAGAAAAAAATCAAAATCTTAAATCGGTCACTGAAAAAAAGAAAAATAATCATTAAAAATCATCAGCAGCCACTATAGAATACTAAAGTGATTCCAAGGCCGATGCTGGCCCAGTAGACATGCACGATCCCTAGAGGATGAATAGATAGGTCTTCAGTTCAAGTCACTTCTTCTGGAATTTCCCGGTTGGGATGGCTTATCCTACTGCAGACCCCTGTGGCGCACTTGGTGAACCATAGGGCGCACGGTGCACAGGATCACTCTGCTTAGATTATTTAACAGTTTCCCACGTACCTCGGGTGTAAAAATGATTTTTAGACCCGAAAAATAGTACATACATAATTATCATCACTTGGTTAGCAGTCTATTACTCAAAGCTGAGAAAAAAAGGAGTTTAGACACGAACATACCCAAAGTACCCTGTGGGTAACAACGAGTCTTATGGTGGGAATTTCGTGGCGATACAAGGCACTTTTAGGACCACTGGGTGAATTTTTTGACATTAATATCCCTCGAAATTTAAGTAGTTAATTAATTAAATTATTTATGCGCCCCAAATGGTGTGCTCTTACACTCAGGATCGAGAAGATAAACACTAAATAAATACTGAATATAATAAATAAACACACAATAGGATCGAAATCAAATAATCCATCACCGCCGTCATAATGGGGAAAAAGCCGGTGTTCAAAGGGGTAATATTGAAGGAGATAGAAATAAAAAAGGAGATTGAAAAATTGAATATAAAAATTCTTCTATATGAAATAGTTACCTAAATTTTCTACAAAAATAATATTCTCTCGAGATGGTGTTTTGAAAAGGCCGTCAGAAAGAGAAGAAATGCTTGAGTAACACGCGATGTACTTTGTTAACGATTTTCCCTCATAGAATTCGACAACATCGCCCACTTTCCCCCTCATCCTGCCTTCATTCCCCTACGTCGTTTCCTCGCCCCCTTCAAATATGTAGAGAACGAATAGCGTTCTGACAAAGGCTATAAAGGAAAAGAACTAAAGTAAAGGAGAGAATTCGAAATCACACTTGTGACATTCGAAGAGGATTCAGGTGCACGGCGTATAAATAACCTGTTGAGTCACTTCAAATACGTACAATGGGTACACTGTTACACATATTATAAGGTGTAGAATGTTTCACAAGAATGCTGGGTTGTGAACAAAACAAAAGCAGAGGTGCGGGTTCGAGTCCCGCCTGGGGCGAAAGTTTTGTTCACAACCCAGCATTCTTGTGAAACATTCGCAAGGCGAACTGCGGCCAAAAACAGCAGTTAACAAACAAAAACAAGGTATAGAATTTAAGAAGAAATGGGAATAATTAATGTTATAAGAAAGTAACAGAAAAGTAGTAGGTAAAGTATACGGTATTCAGTTGGATCAATCTTTCCAAGATGAGCCATGCACTCGACTGCTGTTCAGAATCATAGCAACATTTGAATGAGTATCCAGCTGACTCAACGCCTTTGAAGATGTTACAGTTTTGAGTGACGAATGCAACTTCAAGTTTTAAGTACTTATAGGATAATTTAGTACAAAATCTCCAATCCTCTAGGGATAAAAGGCCTGATTGACCTAAAAGGGCGCAGAAATCCAGAGCCTGTCGCAGTCACGCTTAATCATGGCGCTAAATAAAGCATGCTATATCCTTAATGCTCCAGGATAAGCCATGAAATCTCCTTCACGAAGAGAACGAATGAAAAAAAGGAGGGGAAAAATGGATATCTCATGATCTGTTGAGTAGGAGGCTCCTATGACATCAACGGAACTTCGAGCCCTTTCCCTTTTAAGATTCTTCCCCACCCCTTCGTCGACCTTTGACTAATGTAAAGTAAAGTTGAAGTGTAAGGTTTGAGCAGTTTATCAACAACTATTTACAAAACAATAAACCGGTTGAAAGATATCAACAATCAGCAGTGTAGTTACAGCACGATTGTGTGTGTTGTGTGTGTCTGCGATATCGACGGAGTAAAGTATTATAAAACACACAAAACTCCAAATAACACGAGAAATTGCACTATCGCAGAGAGCTAAGACGGAAAAAGGAAGAAATCGTTGCCGACCCTGCGCTGACGGCCCGAGCTGCTCTGGGGAGAGGTGCTCTGCCGTCAAGCCCGGGTGGCAGAATCCCGTGAATGTGTGGTATGAACCCTAATTGTAATCGCCCTTAGAGAAGGCATTTAACCCGTAACTGACCGTATGCTCTCCGGTGCTGTATAAGACAAATACTGTAACATATAATAGTGAGAACTGAGAAAGAAATAAGGAACCCTTTCCGCAGGTGAACGGAAAGTTTCGCCCACAAATAACTGGGATTGAGAAATAACTAGTAATGAGATGATGTGTTGTGAAGATAGACATTTGTACTCATCAAATACAGCGAGTATAAGTTAAGGAATGGTCCAGATGGTGATGACCGCGCTGGACAAGTACGGTTAGCAAACGGCTTCGGTGATTTCGATGAGAGGTTCGAGTACGGGCTGGAATTTGGGTCGAATGCCAGAGACTCTTCGTTCTCGCGGCTCGTCGCTTTGCCGCTCGGCATCGTGGTCCGTTGGACTCTGAACATAGCCCAAATTGGAACAGGGTTTTTTCAAGGGTGGGTAGGCTGTGGACCCAGGAAAGCCAAAACCTACCACTGGCCGTGGTTTGATTGCGATTGAGAGGTACACGTCAGGAAGTAGGCATTCTGGTTGAGCCTCGTCACGAACCAATCGTACACTACCAGAATTCTCTTTGACATTCTGTAAAAAGCGGATTTCATATTGATCGCTTGATCGATTGGTATTGAATTGAATAATTTAGCATCGTTTATTTGACGAGGGTGATTCAATCAGCGCTGAGCCATCCCTTTCGTCTCAATTGCTTGGATTTGATTCTTTTTAGTGATGTTTGGTTTCATTTGTTGGGAATTTTTGTTTGAAATTGAAGCTTATCCTTTACGCGCCACGTGTTCGACTGCTTTAGGAATCGTGGGCTCGATTGGAAGTATGTTCTGCCTCTACCTGATCTGGCGGCTACCAGAAGTTCAATTCAGCGCTCCCGCCGCCTCAGTCAGGTCCATTGCTGACTGGCTAGACAATATTCCAGTGAAAATCTAATTTTCGGCCTGAATCTATCTCAAGGACTGCCCACATGGTGGGCCACTTCTCTGTTTCTGTGAAAGTAAATGGACGCTAGGGACTTTAAGACCTTTAAAAGACGCTCCAAGTCTATTTATTTGGCAACCCATAAATCTTCTCGTGTTTTTTCAAGAAGTGAGTTTAAATTGTAAAGTTACAGTGAACAGGTACACGTCGGACACCTGAGCGCTCATTCCTGGGCCAACCGTTTGATTAAATACCTGTCCTACCGCATGGCAGGGGCACGGCTCACTGGGGAAAGATTAATGGATGCTACTCCGAACTTTCGTGAAAAATGATTTTAACACCCTTGAGTGAAAGTAAAGGGGTCGAAAACCTGAGAACCCATGAAAAACAACCAATCACGAGGAACAGTCGTACACAACAAGTCAATAATTGTACGCACGTAAGGGTACGGGGCGGAAACGACGCATCAGCACGGGACCTTGGCAGCGGTAACGACGGCGGCAGCGCTCGGGCAGCTGCCAGCGAAGGCAAAGAGGGCAGCTGTGAGCCAGCGAATTGAGTGCATTTAATCTTGGCCAAGATAAAAGCGTGTGACCGACCTGCTCGAATGCGATCAGCTGTCGCCAGAATCCGAGATTCGGACGGACCATCGGCCGTTTTGATTTCATCAGATGATAAGCATCGCGTAAACATCGACACCTGAACTTGCGTGAGTGCATATTCAGAACAGCAGTTAGTTAATACAGTAACCCCAAAATCAAAGATCTACCTATATTTGGTCAAGAACGCCAAGCAGATCGAAGCCGACCGTGACACACCGGCCACACAGTGAACAAGTACTTTACCTCCGTCGGCGATAATAGCTTGAATCTGGAAGTTCGACCTAATGAGTACGGAGGGACACGGAAAGCACCTGATGGCAAAGAAAACCTCACAGTACCTGGTCACTTTGCAGTTCCAAATGGGGATAAATATAGGTCTGTGGGGTGTCCTCGAGCCACAGTTTCGTGCGTTGAATATCCCCAAGGCTACGCAAATTGGGCACTTCAGTGGTGGCATTGATGATGTGAGTGATTTTATACTTCTTGATTTCTTCACTCGTCAACGAACTCACACCACAAATAAACAAACCCGGAACAATTTCGCTCATTTTAGCGTATTCCGGGTTCACACGAAACGAAATCGTCATCTTCTGGAAAGGAAAAGCAGTAGATAACGCCAAGCAGGCCACATGGAATAACGATAGCGACCGAAATAGGAAAATCAGCGAATACGGCAGATAAACGGCAGAAATCACAACAATGACTAATAAGGGGTTGAAAGATTAGGGAGATCAGGCCAGTACAGTAAGCCAGTGCGTCG